AATATGGGCAAGAAAAAATAAATGACTCCACTCAGGTATTACGCACCAAACTTATATTTTTTGCTGAAAACTATGCATGTTTACCTTCATAATAATGTGTATTTCTCTGTCTGTCTGTCTGTCTGTCTGTCTGTCTGTCTGTGTCTGTCTCTCTTGGCGGCTTTCCAAGCGACGACTGTTAGGACGTCACAGTGGTCTCAAAACGCACCAATTTTAACATGGTAGTGAATGAAAGCACCGAGCCGGCCTCATTCTTGCACCGTCGAGGGTCCGTAAAAAGTTTGAGCTCGGGTCAACTAGAAATATCATGGCGCATAATGGTTTGCGCGACGTAAAGCCACTGGCACGGTCCGGTCTGGTCAATCACCTCCAAGCCTGGCTCACAAATCACCTCACTATGACGAATGCAGCGCTATCACACTTCAGACGCCGCCCTCATGTGTGTTCCCGCACTCGTCCGATTTTCAACTTCCCCCAACCTAGTCACTACTAGCTGTGTACGGAATATATGTGTCCTCCCACCTGGCGTCCCACTTCTCTTTCCACACGGAGCCCGTCATAAAGATCGCAGCGCCAAGGGTTTTACCTGCTAACTTAAGGCACTGCGATAACCAACTAACGAAAGTTAACCCTATCGAGCACGATGGATACTTTTAGGGTTATGTTGAAGCTCTCCTTTTCTTAATTTTGCACCACTCATACCCCTATAACCACCGATCCCGTAAAAGCCAAGGTATTTTCGGTGGCCCGTGGCCCTGAAAAGAAGATAATTGCGAAGTATGCCGGCATAGGGAACAAATTAGGACCGTTACCACGGCCTCTCGTTTGAAGAAGACCTCTGTTGCTATACTTTGACCGTCGGACGAATGCACGACCGTCCGCGAGGTCGGCATCCGAAGTATGCGAGCGGGGCAGTTGTCACATTGATGTCCTGCGTGAGCCAGCTTTGATGGTGATTAGCCAGACCGGACTTAAGTTGGCAGACACTGGTGCGCACATGTAAGTAGCCACGGGAGGCACGAGGGGGAGCGTTGAACGCGGAGTTGAGTCAGTACAGGTGCTTTGTTCTACCGGAACACCGTCCTCAGGTCGCAATCGTGGTCCACTG